CCTCTCCTTTTTACAGCCATAAGGAGGAGATTGGAAACTTACCTTCTGCTGTTAAATAATAGTTTCTCATAATATCCAGAACCTGGCACACTGGTTTGCTTCTACAGTAGTAGTTCGTTTAAGCAAACATTTCTGCTAGTGTCAGCACAGGGAACTGTGGTTTGTTTAACAGGAATAGCAAAAAATTTCATTGTGGAAGAGAAAGAGAAGGGCAAACAAGGTCAAGGCTCATGCAGACTTATTCATGATAGCTGAACCAGGCTAAAGTTTTGCAGCAACAGTGTATGTTATCTAAAGAGTACAACTGGTATACAAAACAGTCCCTTGTATTTGATTTCTCTTCCATAAAATTGCTAAATTGCCAGGAGTTCAGGTAATGTTGCTTGTAGTAGAAATATGAAAAGTGAAAGAATTGTCTTCTCCTCTTACCTAATAGCTAGAAAAAACACACGTCTTCTTACTCATATCTTAGAAAGACTCTTATATATTACGTGAAAAAAGTTCAATTATATCTAAGTATTAGGGGAAATGGTGTATTGGTTGAACCTGATTGTATCAGATAGCATCTGATAGCCACTTTGGTTTTTCTCCTCCTAGATACCAGAGAGTTTTGCATTTACTAAATGGAAAGAATCTTGTGGAGATAGGTTGCATTGTATTTGAGATCCTTCAATGCATTCCATAGCTGCTGGATTTTTGTTGGTTACAAAAATGTAATTTACTAAAACTATTTTGGCTGCAAAAACCATGTATGAGAAATGGTTTTCCACAACTCATTGACTCCAAAAGTCCTTGTCCATTGGGGAATGGTTGCCCAGAAGATGATTCTGCAGGCTAAATGATTGTTCCTTAAGTATAGGCATGCCTTTTATCCCCTTTTAAGAGTGAATCCAACGTATATTTTATATTGCTTTTCTCCTGTGCATCATATCCGCCTTATCATTTTCTGTTCTATTGCCCAAACCTTTGTTCTTCAACATCTGTTCTGTCCAATTCTACTCACTTTGAAGTTTTATGTTTTAATATGGAAAGCTTAATCAGGAATCCTTTAATGATGGTGAATTGAACCACATTTTAAAATAGAAGCACACACTTCAAAGGATATAAAAAATAAGTGATTATTAGCACAAGACGATAGGCAGAAACGTAGCTGAATCACCATTGCTTTCAATGGTGACATCCCTTATGACATGAATTGGACTATAAAAATTAAAAGTGTGGGTAGAGAACAGTGTTTAACTGTCCTTGGCGCAGCTGCTGCTCTCTGGATGCGCTTGAAATCTGATTATATATTTTGTCTCTCATATACCTATAATTGGAAGAGCAGTTCCATAATATATTCAAGGCATGCAACATTTGCTAAATCATAAGTGTTAACATAAAACTAAAATTAAAGAAAAACTTTTTGTTCTGTTTTGTTTTGTCAAAATAATGAAAAGGGGAGGGGAGAAGAACTGTGTTGGGTCAAACAAAAACCTATCTAGTCCAGACTTCTATTTTCCAAAATGACCCACCGGATGATTCTAGGAAGTAAGCCCATGAAAAGGACATGCATGCAATTCCTTCTCATGCCAGTGTTCCCCAGCAAATGATTTGCAGAGACATATTACCTCTATACATAAAGTAGCACATAGCCATCATGCCTAGCAGCCATTGATAGCGTTTATCCTCCCTGAATTTGTCTCGGTCCCTTTTAAGTGCACCTTAGATTTCTAAGCAATCTGATAATAACAGATTGCATGAGATGCTGTAGTTATGTCTTGCGTGAAAAAAGACTTCCTTTTTTCTATCTTGAGTATTTCACTAATTGGATTCATTGTGTAACCTTGGATCCTTCTTATGAGAAGGGCAGGAAAACTTATTCTACCCCCTTTTCCACACTGTGCACAATTTTATAGGCCTCTGTCATGTCTATCCTTACAAACTTTATTTTCTAAACTAACCTGCCTCAAAGTTTATTATTTTTTTCGTGTAAGGGACTCCTTCCAGCTCTAAGCAGCACAATTTTCCTTTTTCAGCTTTAGAGTATCCTTTCACATTCTCTAAAACTGTACACAGTATTCCAAGTACAGTTATGCTATAGATTTTTATGCAGTCATTCCTAATTGGCAGTTTTATTTTTGTACCATTTCCTAATGATCCCTAGCATGGAATATGCCTTTTTCATAGCTGCCACATGCTGGATTTTACACTGGAACAACAGTGATATGCAAATATTCCATATCCAACTAGCTAAAGCACTAGCTTGTGCCCATCTGATTTAAACATGGATATGCCATCAAGATATGAAGGGGTACCTCAAAAATTGGACTGGGAAAGTCAGCATTTATAGAATGGTATTTTCACTTTAGCTGGTGAAGTGTGCAGAAGTTGGTAAATTCTAATCCAATACAGAGACTCCAACTTAAAAAAAAAAAAGGAATCATGATGCACGTTTTTCTGAATCAGTGCATCCTTACTGAGCTAGAAAGATTTAAGTAGACTGTACTTTCATTTGGAAGTTATACTTCTAAAGTATGCTTAATCATTTAGCAACAACGTTAACAAGCCAAATACAAGTTTTATGTATTTGCTGCTTTGTATGGATGAAGGGAGGTGACCAGAAGATCAAACATTCTGTAGTTTTGTGCTCAGCACAATAGACAACACTATGTCAGAAAACCCATTTTATTTCAGGCACTAAAAGTGACAATAATTGTGCTAGGCAGGAGCAACAAAATATATTGTTTATTAATTTCATTTCACCTGAATAAGTATTTTTCATGAAACCAATTTCCAGACTTGAGAATTAAGTGAATTTTTTTCCTGTAGTCTGGAGCATATTCTTTTTACAATTTGTTCCAAGTATTAGTACCACTAAATCTGAATAATTATAGCTGAATAATTATAACCCTGAAACATTTTGGTTTTATTTTTGCATTCACATGTATCAAACTTTGATTCAAGATCACCTCTGTGTCCCGAAGAGTTCCTTCTGTATACTGGGCATAATTTAAGACTGTAATGAATATGAAGAAAATGTTTAAGTCTCATTGGGGGGAAACAATCTAAATATAGATATGTTTAGTGTCTTAGACAGTATTGTTAACTTGGGAAGACTTCCCACAAAGGGTCTACTCAATATTTCTAATGTGATTTATCCCTGTTTGCCTTAAGTGCTAAGCAATAGTCTTCCCTACACTTACCCCACCTATATATGGAAAGGCCTTCCTAGGGAGATCTGCCAGTTATTCCCATTGTATGCATTTAGATACAGGGTTAAGACCTTTATCTTTGTCTTTAATTTTTAATCTGTTGATCCAGTTACTAATTTTACTGTCACAAGCCAAGTCCCCCCGTCCCTTCATACTTCAAACTGTTTCTTGACAAGCTCTTTAATCTCCAGAGCACCTCCAGTAAGCACAACCAGCAAAGAATAAGACTCTGAATTGAACCCACTCTAGCCACTACTTCTAAGCATTCTCCTTTTGAGTATCCCTGGGGGGACCACCCCCTGGGGTGTCCTTTTTCGGCTGGCCCATCTCTCCCAACATTGGGTCAGGAGGTCAAGAATCATGTCAGGTTCTACTGACTGCAGGAATTCTTCTCCCATGCCCCCTCCTTGCAGTTGTAAATCTTCACTACTCTCAACCTCTTCCTGAACAGCAGAGGCCCTTGGGAGGGTCTCCTTGCAACAAGCTCTTCTGCTTCTCCCATTTCAACATTTCGGGTTTCTGGTTTCCAGGGCCCCTCATCATCTGATTAGACTGTGTCTCCTTGACCTGAGAACACCAAGAATAACTGCCCCTTTCATTTCCAATGCCTTTCATCTACTGGCATCTCAGTGATCTAATATTTTGTTAATATTTAATAGCTTAAAGTATTTTGATACTATGCTGTTTTTTATTTTGTTGCAGTTGATTGGTTTTATGATTGTAAACAGCCTTGAGGGCATTTGGCAGCTGGGCAGTAAGTACATGTAATAAATAACTGCCCAAGAGAGTCTGACATGGAGAGAATCATCATATTTTGTTGAAGGGAAGAACAGCCACTGACCCTTCTAGGGTCTCCCTAATTGCCAGATATGGGGTACTATGATAGTCTAGTCTGGTTAAAGCAGCACAAGCACCATGTGGATGATTTGTTGGGAGAAATGTCTTGGACCAGCCTGTTCTCACACTGCTGAACTTGAAAGCAAAGGCAGGTGGTATGTTTGGCCTGGTTCTGGTTGACTAGATTTTCTATTTCCTTGACTAGCAGGAAACTCAGACATTGGAAAAAATGGTGCAGGGGAAGGCCCTCCAATAAGATATCTTTACAAGGTGGACTTCATCTGTATCATTTCTCTCCCCCCACCCCAACTAATCCCAGACCCCTTTTTAATCTTATATGTAGCTATATCTTGAAGACTACATCATCCTTGGCTTTTAATGTACTTTACAGAGCAAGCAATGGAAATACTGTATATAATGTATGACTTTATCTTCAAGCTTCTTCACATTTATTTTTAAGACCATAGGAGTTACATCATCATTGTTCTTATCATATGCAGTTGGGTCTGAAGACTAAGAAACCTTGTCTTGCCCAAACACACAGTGATCTGATTCAGATAGATTGATTAACTGTGGTTTAGTGTTCAAAGCAACAACCTCAAGCTTGTCTACCCAACCCCTCATCACCACTCCCCTGAGAGAAGATCAGGAGTATTGGCTTCCATTTTAAATTAACCATAGTTTAGCATTGTGTCCAAAGTTGAAACTGTTCCTAATCTTAACTATGGTTTACATTATTAGCAGAACATTATGTATGTTAAATAGAGTTTGTTTTTACTCACTTGAGTGAACTGCATGGCCTGAATATAAAAATATAATTCTCTTTTATGTCTGTATTATCAAAAGAAAGAAGTTAAAATTATTCATGAATCATTTGCAAACTATTAGTTATCCTCTAATGGGATAGACTGTGCAATATCCCTGGAATAAGACTAGCAGTGACTCACATGATTTCTGTGTACATTATAGATTTGCCGCAAGCTAAATGGAATCCGGTTTACCTGTTGTAAAAGTGCCAAAGATAGGACATCCATGTCAGTGACACTGGAACAATGTTCAATTTTAAGAGATGAACATCAACTGCACAAAGACTTCTTTATCCGAGCACTGGACTGTATGAGGAGGTGAGTTCTTAACTACTTTTGTGTCCTTCCTGTCTTTCCACCCGCTGTGTGTGCTCTAATGTATTTTGGCCAAAATTTTGCCTAAGTCAGGAGAAGGAAGAAGTGTGTGATTTCCCCCCAAACATATTCATTCTCATAAAGGCTCTTTAACTGATGAATGCTACTTAATTTTAAATGTAATTAGTTTCACTTGGGGCGCAGTCCATTGAGGCTGCCCATAGCCCTCTGAACTTGTTTGGTCAGGAGCATCCTGTGCAGGGCAGAAGGCGCATGGAGGGGATGGATGCTTATGCTCTTCTCCTGCCTACAAAACACTTAGCCAGTTTTAGCCGTCTGTGCACGGCACTTTGGCGAATGAGGAAAGGAAGTGGAGATGCTGCCAAGATCCGGTGTACCTTGGTGGCACCAGCCTGCTCCACTCCCCACCCCGGAACAGCACCTGGCAAGGTTCTTTCTGAGAGTGAGAAGACGGTGATCAGTGCTGCAGTCCCCAACGTTTGTCTTACCTTGCAACTGAGAATCCAAGAAATCCTACGGCTGTCTAGTTGTTCTCTAGTCACCACAGGATTGCTATCTTAGTAATTTCCCTCGGTTAAAGATAAATAAAATATGGCAAACAAATTTAAGAGACATATTAACTGCCATTTTTATTAAGTCCTCACTATTGTTTAAATTACAATGTACTTTAAGTGTAATTGTGAAAATATTAAGATGGATCGATCAACAGTATGTAAATTAGGTTGTGTAGGGTAGTTTGAATTAATAAACTTCACATCAAAACAAACGTGGCACCATAATTTATTATTTTCCTGTGTTTGAAGAAATTGGTGTTATATTTAGGCAACTACTGAAAAGTATTTATCTTAAGATTAAAAGTAATGTTGTTTGCATTTCTAAGCAACCATTTCTATAATGAAATTCCACACATTGTTAGCATCTATAAATCATTCTGCAACAAGAGCTGATTGTATTCTCTATAGTCCAGTAGAATAAAGGAATGCTTAGCTATTTCAATATTCATATTCAGGAAAATAAGGATGTATTTTAATTGTTAACATTGTTGTAAATAATTCCTGCTTCTAGATAAACTGAAAGAAGAGGTTAAGTGCTTAGCATTCCATCAATATGCTCTTAAAAGATACACATCAATTGTGTGGTTTTTAAAAATGCTAATGCCTACAGTAGTAAATCATCATAACAGTAAGATAATTCAGATGTTTAGCTTGTTTAAGAATTGCTAATATGGCATCATGCTGTGTTACACTTACATGCATTTCATTTTGCTCATCAATCCTACCACCTTTACAGCTTGCCAGTCATGATGGGAACTGCATGTGCTAACTTTCGCACCTGAATGTGGTTTTGCTAATGATCCTTTTATTTTCCATATTTACACATAATCTGTGTTCATGTTCCAGCTGTTCTGTATCTTGGAGTGAGTTTTCAGGCCATTTAGTTGACTTAACACTGTGCCAAACCTTAATTTGATCATTATATTTTTAAAGCTTTTAAAAAATTAAGATAGCAACCCTAAGACAGCATCTAGGATACATAGGATATTTACATTTCCAGATCCAAGGCTGGACCCTGAGCTCTGCTCTCAGTGATGGAGAACCACCCATCAATCCTCCTCCTTACCACCACATCCAATCTAGAAAGGGTCGTGCTGGTTGCTTCTCTGAGGTCAGAAGAAGGTCTCAGAAGCATCAAAAGCACAATTGATTGAGCTTCAGTGAAACTGAAGCTCTGGCTTTGCTGCAATGGGTGAAAGAGCATAACCAAAATTGTCCTAAGGCTATTTAAAAGTTCAATATATTAAAATATTTTTAAAAACTAAAACAGAAAAATGGTGAATACTCTTCAGTTTGTTAAACAAATAACACACCATGCAGGAAGGATATTAATGGCTTATAGAGAAGAGTAAATGCAAAAGGATATCACATGCAGAAATAGAATGTGAAACATGCAAATGATCACAAAGATAAGAAGTATATACTCAAGAACTATAGAGCAGTGTGACTAATGCTTCCAAAAGGTAAACTCTAGTTTAACTCTTGCTGAGATGTATTAGAAAACAATATCAGGAAAACAATAACTATGACATGCAAAGGTTATAGTTGGCCTCAACTAGCAGCAGTTTAAATTGTTATTTAGCTCCACCAGTCCAAACTAGTTAAGCCTCATGTTGGAAACTTCCAGCTATATAGCAGTATAGTTCAAATCTTTTTCAGGAAAGTGGGCAAGGAAGGAAAGTTTAGCTGCCTATCCCAAGCAGAGATCCAAAGAAGAGACTTTTGTAGAGCCAAAGAAAGATTGAAAAAGACCTCTCCTAGAGTTTAAGGTGCAGGTCTCATTGAGGTCCAGGCAGGAAATTAATACAAGCAGGAAATGAAGATAATGTTTGAAAATAGAAAAGGCTGGTGAAATCTGAGCTCCTTTTTAATTTGAAGCAACCTGTGCCAGGATTTAAATAAATTGTGGCTTATTTTAATTGTGCAAACCAGGTTAGTGTTTGAGTGAGCTTTTTATTGTGACCTCAAGATCCTCCTCCTGTGTTGTTTGTGCCAGACTGGCTCATACTAGCTTACAGGATCAGAGAAGGACTTTGGGTTAGTCATAGTTCACAAGCTTTGCATGCAGAAGGTACAAGGTTCATTTACTGGCCAACGGTTCTTGGCTCAGTTCCTGGCATCTAGCTGTAGCACGGGGGAAAAAAATTCTATGAAATCCTGGAAAGATTGTGTCAGTCAGCGTAGGCAACGGCTGGGTTTGCACAACGTCTTAGTGGAGTGTGTACATTCTGCAGCAAAATCCTCAGATCCTTTTAGGGGGGTTCCCTGGCCCTGGCTGCCCTCACCTTTCTAAGGCAGGATGACACCGAGGCACAATGACCTCTCCCAACCTAAAGAAAAATCTGTTTGGGGAATGCCTTCTAAATTTCTCTGTTCCCAGGTTACTGCTTTGGCTACTTTGCTGCACTTTGGCTGCTTTGGGGGCCCAGGAAAGGCAAGTTTCTTTGCTACTTCTTTGCCAAGGGACTGTTTTTGTTTTTGTTTTACTTGGCTATGACTTCCGAGTTGTGTTCAAACAATGCTGCACCATACTGCTTGGTTTCTTACCTAGTTGCTGCATTCCATGCCTACATGTTTTCCACCTTCTTCCATCATTGGCAGCAGGCCTCTCATCAGCCCCTGTGGCTGAATTTCATACCCATGGGATACCACTCCTGCCCGTTTTGCCGGCTTCTCCCTCACTATGTCCTCAGCCAGGTACTTCTGGTTGAGTTTTTCCCCCACTGCTCAGCCAAAGCAATGGCTTATTAGAGTAACACTCTTGCTCCAGAGTAGTACTCTCTTGTGCTGCCACGCTCCATGCCCGCATATATGCACACCCACACCTCTCCTCCACCTCTCCCATGCCGCAGAGGTGTCCATGCTCCCCTGTTCACATGTTGGAAAGGTTGGCCCTCTGCTGCAGCCAGGCACATGGATGGCATCAGCTGGGGCAGGCTGTGGTCTCCCCCGCTTCCTCACCATGGCCACAGCCAGCCTTGTTCAGTGCCCCACATACTCATCCTCAGAAGCCCCTCCACCCACCTCTAACCACACTGTTGTATGTGGAAGCAGGCAGCTTGCCCTGGCACCTCGTCCCCAGTGGTGCTACGCCTTGCCCTCTCCACCCATCCCACAGCCTGCCCTCCCAAGAATCACCGTGCTGGTACAAAACATTTACTTATGTCTGCAGCATCATGAGAACAGGGAAAGGGCTACCGTGCCAGGGAGAAAAACGTGTCATGTGGTAATAAATCTAATGACCTCTTCTGTTGCACAAACTCTGCTGAAGTACAGCTGTGTTCACATACTGTTCCCCATCCCTTGCAGCACCTCACCCCAAGCTAGCATGCATCCCTTATTGGATGCCCTTTTCCCTGTACTTTGTGCATCTGGGTTCAAACCACTGAACAAGACAGGATGAAGTGTGGAAACAATAGACCGACCAATGTTTATTTCTGTGGTTCTACAAAACCAAATGTGCCATGCTCACAGGATTCAGATGTGTGACAAACCATGCCACAGTGTTTACACCATGCTTTGTTATGTCTGAATACAGACAATTTATTTTCTGGATCTTGGCAACACAATAAGCCATGGTGGGTTTATTAAACCCTATGAGAAATAATGGCTAGCTGGAGTGGCTTACAGGCTATTCTGTAGGAAAAAGTGCTGGATTCAGAAAGCATACAGACTTACAAACCACCATGGGTTAACATGTTGTGCAAACCCAGTCAATATTGAACTTGATGGACTGATTCAGTCTGAGATCGCTTTTTAGGTCATAAAATTGTTGGCCATTTCTGGTTCAGACCAAAGATCCATCCAATCCAGCATTCTGTCTCATACAGACTAAGCCAGAAGTCTCTAGGCAGGTCACAAGAAGAGGAAAATATAATTGCTTGCTGTTTTTGGAAGGGTTCTGCTTCTGAATGTGGAGCTGCCATGATGAATAACAGTTGATAGACATAGGATAGACATAGGATGTGATTAGATCATCATATTTCAGCTTATCAAGCCAAGATATGAATGAGCTTTATCGGTGCATTCAGCCTTTCACAGCATGAGCAAACTCGCCAGGAAGTATCTAATTTGCAAAGAAACTATGGCTACCAGTTTCAGAACAAGTCAGTATCTTAAACAAATGTCCAATAGTGGTTTACAATCCTGGGCTGTTCCAAACATGTTAACCATAGTTTTCCAGTTCAGATGACTAATGAGAGACTTCCTGGCTTATTAATATGTACCATGAAAAGATGGTAGACACATCCATATCTCTGCTTACTAAACTGTTATACAACCCCCCAAACCAGGATGTAATCTCTTTCACACCATTCTTAATTTAAGGAACTTATTTTATTAACTAAGAGTTCCAGAATGCTTTTATCTTTTTTTCATGTGGATTTTTTCTCATACTCCCATTGGGCATTTTTGTTGATGTTTGTACAG